TTTTTTTTTTTCCTTCTGAAAAACGTAGTTGTTCCATAAATAAAGCAATTGGTTCAGTGTAATCTCTGCTTAATTGGATTTGAGTGTAATTGACTGTAATTACACAGTTTTAACATGTTTGTCTGACCAAGTAATTACCTGATCAACATGTAATTGGGTGTAATTGAGGAAGTGTAATTACACTCTGCAAATTTCAAGAGGGAGGGTAATTACATGGTATAATTACCAGATTGTTTTTTGAATCACTTTTCTTTTCTTTTTAATTTACTTTTTATTTCTATTCTTTTTTTTCTTTTTAATTTTTTTTTTCAAATAATATTTTTTTACATTTTTTTTGTTTCCTTATTTCTCATTTCCCAATCTTTACTTCACGTGTTCTACATAATTTCTCATATTTTGTTTTTTCTTAATTATTTTTCTTTATTACATAGTTATGTTATTATCCTTAGTTTGCTAAGAAATTATACCCCATAACCTTATAAAAAATAAGTCATCCACAAACTTGACTTATAATGTATGATGTTATTAAAGTTGAACCTTGTTATTGGATGAGGTTATATGCAAACTTAACTATGTTAAAATGATAAGATTAATTTTTAATACTTAAATAATATTTGTATTTTCCGACCTTTATTTTTGTGATTCCATGTAGTTGCTCCTTCTTCTTCTTCTTCTTCTTTTTTTTTTTTTTTTCATTTAGCATAATTGTGCTATTATTCTAGTTTTGAAACTACTCCTCCTAATATTAAAAATAATGAATCATTAATAAACCTAGCATATAATTAGTGATATCATTGAAGTAGAATCTCATAGTTGAATGAAGTTATAGACTTATATTTTTCCTTTTCTTTGAATTATACGTACTTAAATTATATTGAAACTTAATTTATTTTATGTTGTAATTTTACATACGAGTATTATGTTATCTATTTTATTGGATTTTGAATTTACATTATATTTTTGCTTCCATTTTATTTGCTTTAATAGTATTCTCTTATTAATTTAGATTGCATGCCATTTATTTTTCAGTTAAAATTGATAGATTATTTTTTCGTAAAACATTTGAGTAATATTGTGGAGTTATATTTATAAATTTAATTATTTTATCAAGCATGCAGTCCTATATTTTTACAAAATATGTACCTTTTGTTTTTATAATTTATTAAAGTAAAATATTATTAATTTAAAAAATATATATCATTTTTTTAATAATATTAGTTACAAATATATGATTAGTAATTAATATATTTTCAAGAAATTATATCTATCTTAAATATCAAATTTAATATTATTTATAAAGGCAAATATTCGGTAAGTTTTAGCTTTTAATTTTTGATTATTAACTTTATAGTTAAAGTTAATCTAATTGTGTAATTATACTTGTGCAACCAAACAATACACTTGTAATTACACTGTAATTATATTATGACAAACAAACAAGTTGTCGTAATTATAATAATATGTAATTACTATCCTAATAATTACACAAATTTCAATTACTCGGTGACTTTCTGTTTACCTCGAAAATACGAGTAACAATTAAACTTGTTTATGGTTTTAAAGATACATGATTTAGTTTAATACTAATTATTAACCAAGAAACCTAACGTATAAATGAAGCCAGTAAGGAAGCCAGTCTCGGCCTCGAGCTAAGGTGGCCTTGAGGTAGGTCAAGAACAATAAAGTTAAAGGACAATTCTGATGAAATGTGAGTAAGAAAGTAAGAGAGTATATTCTTTGCCAATGATTGATGATAGTTACAAATGATTGGGGTCCCCTTTATATAATAGGGGAACCCTTAATAAGGTACATTTCTATTTACAGTAAGGAATCTTATTGGGACAACTGTCTAACTGCCTAGTACGGATTCGTACCTTTCGTACAAATCGATTCCAGAATTTACGCCATGATTTTGGGGACATGGCGGGAATCTTGTTCTTTCTGTTACAATCTCATAACGGCATCATCTTGGGGTTGAGCATACTCGGCTTCGATACTTATAGCGTACTTCGATTCTCGGGCCTTGTACTATGTCATAGGGCTCGAGCTTGGTCCATCGAGCTCGAACTCGACCCATCCTGAACTCGGGCTTTAGGCGACCCCTCGAACCCGTGAAATCGGATATATCTGATTTCGACCGTATATACTTTCCAAACAGACCCGAAAGCTAATTCCAATGTAATCGGAAGCTTCGCTCTTGCTCGAACTTTACAAAGCTTCATTATTATTAAACATTGAAGGACAGAGTTATCATATTCATACCCCACGCAACAAATAATAAAACACATTATATGAAATAAGACCAGACAAGCATGAGAAATGCCGATCCATGATTTGGGCCATATGGTACGATCACGATCCTTGAATTTCTACGTAAACGCCGTAAAAATTGCACGGAGCGTTCTATTTGGTCGCATCCATTTAACCTATACCCATTTTTTTTTAAACTTTTAACTTGTACCCACTTTTTAAACAACTTCAGCCCTCTTTCTCCTCCTCCTTCTCCTCCTCAAAGTTTTATCTTTTCTTTTTCCAGAAGTAAGGTTCATCCCTATCTGATTCTTCTTATTTCTCC